AAACGAGGTCAAGAGCCACCCAACATCTCTCTCGTGAAGCTCCCAGAAGATTGTGGAGGGAAAGGTAGAATGTGGTGTTACCCCCCACAGCAGCTGTGGAGTTATTTTCTCACTGTTAGCGGTACCCCCCCCAGGGATCTCCTTCTCCCTCCCCCTACTTCCCGCTGCCTATTATTCACTCATTTCCTGCCAAAGGCTAACCAGCACCTACTATGTGCCAGGCACTGGATACCCAAGGGTGGAAAGGAAGCGCCCAGGCCTCATGAACTCAGAGCACACACAGTGGTAATAAAACACAGTAAGAGGAATTTGTTCCGCAGAAGATAGTCATGAGCAGCTACTATGTGCCGAGCATCCTCTGGGCTGACTTATGCTGGACACTTCTTTTTTTTTTTTTTTTAATTTTCAAAGTTTATTTATTTATTTATTTTAAGGGCGAGAGAGCGCGGGGAGGGGCAGAGAATCTCAAGCCGACTCTGCAATGCCAGCACAGAGACCCACCAGGGACTCGAACTCACTAACCGTAAGATCATGACCGGAGCCAAAACCAAGAGTCCGACACAGCCGATTGAGCCACCCAGACGCCCCTTGGACGTTTCCTATTAAAGTCTGTTCCTCCAAGGAGGGCTCAGTCAACCACACACTTCCGATGATCAATGGCTAATGTTTAGCCAGGTCCTGGGCTGAGCCTGGGGTTAGAGAGACTGTTTACGGCCAGTTAGGCAACCCACCATTTGACCGCAACGTCTGAGTGCCCCAAAGAGCAGTCACTAAAGGTCCTTCTCCCCCAGCTACGTACCTACTGTGGAAGAAGGTAGAAACCCGCCCACAGCCACAAGGCAAGTCGGTCTAAGCCGAGAGGTGCGGGGAGGGGGGGGAAGGGGGAGACCCCAAAGGGCCTCAGGGGACCTGGGGGCATCACTGGAGGGGCCTCGCCCAGGCAAGAAAAATCTACCCCGAGGTAGTCGGGGGCTCTGGGCGGGGCCAGCAGGATGGGCGCCCCGCCCCCGCCGCGCCCGGCCCCGCCCCCGCCGCGCCCGGCCCCGCCCCCGCCGCGCCCGGCCCCGCCCCCGCCGCGCCCGGCCCCGCCCCCGCCGCGCCCGGCCCCGCCCCCGCCGCGCCCGGCCCCGCCCCCGCCGCGCCCGGCCCCGCCCCCGCCGCGCCGAGCCTGCCCTTATAAGGCGAGTGTGGCGCCGCGCTCCCGCCTGGGGCGCTTGTCATCACCTGCGTCCGCCCGCTCCGCGCGGGAGCCCGCCCGCCCGGGGCAAGGGTCCAAGGCCGCGCCACCCTGCGTCTTCCTACCCGGAAGCGTCGCTCCCGAACCCGCCCTGCCCGCGCACCTGCGCGGTTCCCATCCAGCTGTGTCCGTTTATCCGAGTCCCCGCGCAGCGAGACGGGTGGTGGGGCCCGGAAAGTGGCGGTGGGGCCAGCCAGCGCTGGGCCACGCGCAAGCCGGGGTGCGGGCGGGAGGAAAATCAGCCTCTCTTCGGGACTCCCCAGCCCACCCGGTGCCAGCGACTCAACTTTTACAGTGAATCGCCCTGTCAGCTTGCCTCGTGTGGCTTTAGGAAGAGCCAGGGCTCGGCAACCACACGGCTCCGATTCCATTTACTAGGGTGCTTACTGGTCTTCTGGGCTGGGGGCGAGTTAAGCAGTTCTCCTGTGCCTCGGTTTTCTCATCTGGAAAATGGGGCTATAATGGCTCCTCCCTCGGGGTTAGGATGAACATCAGCTGTGTTCATGTAAGTTAGCAGTTTGCAGATAACCCGGAAGGGCTGCTTCTCAGATGGGAAACCCACACCGCCGGAAGTTCAGCCTCAGTCTTGGTCTTGTTTGCCAGGGTGAGGGGGCATAGGAGCAGTTTTTAGAAATACACAGGTATTAGGGCGTCTGGGTGGGTCAGTCGGGTAAGCCAATGACTCGATTTCGGCTCAGGTCATGATCTCATGGGTTGTGGGAGCCACGCCTACGTAGGGCTCTTCACTGAACAGCACCAAGCCTGCTTGGGATTCTCTCTCTCTCCCTCTCTCTCTCTCTCTCTCTCTCTCTCTCCCTCTCTCTCTCTCTCTCTCTCTGCCCCTCCCCCGCTCACACACGCTCTGTCTCAAAATGAATAAATAAACTTAAAAAAGTAAAAGACTGAGGTACTTATTTCTTACATTTCCTAAATCCTGGTTCAGTGCAAGGAGAATGCCTTTTGTTAGAATGTCCCTAATACCCCTTAGCAAAGGAGAGACAGGCCCAAGACCCGGAGGCAGAGATAGGAGCTGGTAAATTTCATAAAGTGACTTCGTTCTGGTGATTTCAGCGTTTCCATTGAGAGTTCAGAATTACTGTTTAACACGGCACTCGAGTTTCCATACATGGTAGTGGCATAAGACCCACTTTAATGTATGCAGTGTGAAAATGTGCAGAAATACAAGGGCAAAGATCCTTCAAATACTCATCTAAGGTTCATAAATAAATGTGTTAAAATAGGAGCTGGTTGTTAACAAGAAGAATAAGATAAGAGTATAAGGAGTACTCTCGAGCTTGCTAGCTGTGGCTGAAGGTTGGCAGGAACTGCCTGGGGACGGCACGGTGCCCCAGAAGGGGATGGTGGGGCGGCAGGAGTTGGAATCTCAGAGCCTGGCTCACTGGTGTCCCAGGGCACACCTGCAGCACGCAGTCTTCCGGACCCCCATGCCAGTGCGCCCCAGCCTGCTGCCTCTAGACTCAAGTCTCCTCGCCTGGGTTAGTTCTGCATTTGCTTTCTCAGCTGCCCACCTGGGCCACAGGCACCCACCCCACACACCAGGACTAGAGGAATTTTCTAGACCACTGAAACCCCTCCATGGCTTCCCCGGTGCCTGCAGCAGAAAGACCCAGACCTAGGCAGGGCTGGTGTGCCTTCCGTGGTCTGGGGCCCACAGACTGCTCAGCGCCTTTTCCTAGCACTTCCTTCCACTTTACTCTAAGGTCAACTTGAGCCATTTGCAGCTTCCTGAATATTCATTAAGTAAATATTTAATGCGTTAGGATGCGACAGCAGAAAGAGAGCTCCACAGTGGTGAGGTGCACAGCAGGCATGGTCCAGCCGTCTCTCCTGGCGTTCACTGGCGGCTGGGGGAGTTATGACACAGTGGTACCAGCAAGGTGGGGTCCTCTTGCATATGTCTTTATCTGGGGCTCTTCTGTTGGGGACCGTGAGCTCCTCAAGGGGAAGCCTTCTTATTCTGGTTGGTCGAGTGTCCCCAGTAGCTTGGGGGCGAGATGCCCAGTAGGTACACTGCAATTGTTGGATGACTCTTAAAGCAGCCAGCCTCCGCACCAGGACCCCCACCCCAGAGAGATCCAACCGGCCATCAATCATTCGTTCATTCATTTTAAGTGAACGATTTCATTCACGCACTGAATCAGAGTGTGCCGCGCCCCTGATGTAGGAGCAGATGACTGACACAGGGTGAGCACTGTGCTCCAGCAGACTGGGGGCCAGCCAGCGACGAAGGGGACCTTCTGCCTGGCCCCCTTTGGGACGATGGCCTGAGGAAGTGTCATTTCAACAGGGCCTCCTGGAGTGAAAGCAGGATTGGGTATAGGGCTGAAAGAAGAGAGAATCTGAAGGACAGAGAGGTGTGACCGTGACCCTGTGCAGTTGCTGGGGTGCGGCCCCCAGCAGGGAGTGGCCGGAGCCTTTGGTCGGGTGTGTGAGCAGGGAGCCCTGGCAGACAGGGAGGGCCTTCCGTGCCAGCTGCCTTGCCCCAGCTGGGGAACAAAGGGCGCATCCTCTGAGGCAGTGGCTTTTTAAGGTTTTCTGACCGCGACCAGCAGGAAGACACACGTAACATCACAACCTGGCACAAGGCACAAAATTCAAACAAGCTTTTCTCGAGACCGTTTACCACCCGAGACTCTCTGCTATGTTTCTCTTCTGCTTTTTTTTATCCTCCTCCTCATTATGAAATTCTGAGTATAACACACCAAATTAATTTCAAGAGCCACCTGCGCTTTGGAAAATATTGATCCAAGAGTCTTTCCAAAGGGTCTAGTAGTGGCTGCATCTGCGCTGACAGCATGGAGCCTGCTTGGGATTCTCTCTCTCACCTTTCTCTTTGCCCCTCCCCCACTCATGCACTCTCTGTCTCTCTCTCTCTCAAAATAAATAAAATAAACTTTAAAGAGAGAGAGAGAGAGAGAAGTCTCCACTTGGCATCCAGTTCTCCTGCAGGCTGGCTTTGGATGCCCGGGGCTGGGGTGGGGGAGGGCAGGGAGAAGGGGGTACTTGAGGCCCCCCCTGCGCTCCGGCCTGGGTGCCAGCACCAGGGGTCAATTCTCCCCTTTGTTCTCTTGCTGTGCCAACCACCTTGTGTGCGGGCGGCGCTCTGACTCAGCAGAGGGTGAATACAAGGACCAGAGCCCCACCCCCATGCAAGTTTCTGGCTACTTTCCTCTTCCATCTGGGATCTCTGGGGCCTCGGGGGAGATGGGGGGAAGCTGGGGGCAGGGCCGTGGCCCCAACGCATGACCTTGGCCCTCAGAACACCGGAGCCAGAGGAGACCGTCGAGATGGAGTCCAACCCCCCTGGTTTTATTTTTGTGGAAACCGAGGCCCCGAGAGGGGAGGGGACTCAGCTCAGTTTCCACAGGAGGCGGTCTCAGCATGAGTGTTGGAGGTTCGGGTCTCCTGGCTCCAACTCCAGGGCTCTTTCTTTTCACTGTGGCAGGTACAGGGTCTGCAGAAGGGCGGGAGTTTTGGAAAATGGCCTGTCTGAGACCTGCATCCTCGCTGTGACTCTGCCACCCGCTTCCGTGGGCTCCGGCCGAGGCGCTGCCCTATGATGAGGGGACAGGACCAGAGGAGGTCTCGGAGACCATCCAGCCCTGAGCCCAAGCTGCCTGCCTTCTCCCCTGTGTGTTGGAGGGGAGCCCTCCCTCCCCTGTCACGAGATACGAGACCCTCTCCCCCTCCTCTCCAGAGCCTGAGCTGCCTGGAGCAGTGACAGGGGAGATTAAAGCCTGTGGGAACCTGTCTTCTCCCAGGAACTTGCCGCTTCCCCTGGGGGCCTCAGGATTAGGGTGGTGGCTTCTAGTCCTTTCTTCCTGGAGACATTGGATATGGTCTGAAATCCAGGCAGAGGGGCCCTCCTCTCCCCAGGCTCGCTGGCTCCTTGGGCTCTCCGGAACGCATGATTTGCCTTCTCAGTTCACTTTCCTTTTCCATGTCGGCATCTGCTCTCTAACTGGACCCGTAGGATCTCACACCCTGTATCTGCAATCAAGAGATCTTACAGTGGGAGGGATTTGGACCCCTCTCCCTAGGGGAGGCAGCATGAGTACTGGGTATGATCTGGGGCTCCCCATGGAAAGTGCCTGGGTTCAAGTCCCAGCCCCCTGCTGGCCTGCTGGGTGGCCTTGGGGGCCTGCGGGGTGGCCCTGCAGGCATTCACTTAATGCCGCAGGGGTCTCTTAATCTAGTGTCACTCCACATGCTAGGAGCATCCCAGAGAGGAGAGAAGCCTGGGACTCCACGTTATCTCTTCGTGCCCCGCAGGGACCCTATAAGGTAAATAATATTCATGGCCTCCCCGAGGCTCAGGGAGCAAAGGGACTTGGTTAGGCTCCATGCCAGAAGGGAAGGAATCTAACTCACGCTCACTGAGGCTCCAGGGCTCTGGACCCTCCTTCCTGTTCATTCCCCAAGTGACTCCACAACACCTCCACCAGACGGCCTCCCAGCCGCCATGTCTTAGCACAGAGGCTGCTGTGCAGAATTCCCCAGACTGGGAGGCTAGAAATCCAAGGTCAGGGTGCAGGCAACGTTGGGGCCTTGGTGAGGACCTCTCCTTGGTTTACACACGGCTGTCTTCTCGTCTCCTCACTAGTACTCCCTTGCTTATTTGGGGGACCCTAACCCCATCATGGGGGCTCACCTCCCGAAGGCCCCCCCACCTCCAATCCCATCCCAGCCCATCCCATGCAGGCTTCAACACAAGAATCTGGAGGAACACGGGGCGCCCGGGTGGCTCAGTCGGTTAAGCGTCCGACTTCGGCTCAGGTCATGATCTCACGGTTTGTGGGTTCGAGCCCCGCGTCAGGCTCTGTGCTGACAGCTCAGAGCCTGGAGCCTGCTTCAGATTTTGTGTCTCCCTCTCTCTCTGACCCTCCCCTGATCACACTGTCTCTCTCTCTCTCAGAAATAACTTTAAAAAATTAAAAAAAAAAAAAAAGAATCTGGGGGAACATAAACCTCTCTTTTCTCAAGTCTCCAAGTAAAGAGGCTTACCCCAGCAGGACAGCTCTGATTCTTAGCTGGCTCCTCCTTCTAGAGACTGTAGGAGGCTGGGGTTCTTCAGTTTCAAGTCACAGAAACTGACTCTGAATAGCTAAGCAGAATGAACATGGAGGTGGAGGTAGTCATTGGGACACACTGGCCAAGCTTCTGCAATGGCGGAAAGGCTGGGTGCCCTCATCTCCGGGGGGTGCTTCTTGCCTGGAGACTTCTGCGCTTTCTGGCTGACGGTCCTGAAAGAGAGGACTCTGAGGTTAGGAGCATCTGAGCTCAGCCCCCGGAGTCTCACACCAGGGTTCTGGCCCACTTCCTCTTCACTGGTTGAGTTCATGGCCCACCTTTCCAGGATGTGGTCGTCAGCCACCCTCTCCCCCACCCCCTTGCCCCAGTGTCTCTCATTGGGGTTCAGACTGTGTTGCCTGGCTTGAGTCACAGCCCTGGCCCCTGGAGAGGAGGGGCAGGACCTTGTGACGGGCAGTCCTGCCATAACCAGATGGAACGAGGCAGGGGTGGACCCCCACCACCCCCACAAATGAAGGGATTGCTATGAACTGAACAAGGAGGGGAATCGGAAGCTCTCCACCCTGGGATTCTGCCCACTGGCCCTCATCCTGGCCTCCGGGAAACAGATTCCTCTTTCCCGGCTTCCCCTCCCTCCTTCTTCCCTCTCTCCCTCCCTCCTTCAAACATTGAGTGAGTGCTTGCTTTGTTTCAGGGCACTCAGGAATAAAACGATGAACCAGATCCAGGGCCAACCTGAGGGAACCCATCTAATCCAGATGAGCATACAATGCTGTTCAGCCAGGTCAAGGCCACGTCAGGCATTACCAATGGACCGCAGCACGCTTTCCCGGGAGCCTGGGCTCGGCCTTGCTGCTCCGCACAGAGCCCCAGGCAGCCAGTTCTCACCAACTGGAGTTCCATACTAGGGAAGCTCTTCGCTGTGCCTGGCCCCAAACTTCCCACTTTCCCATAACAATTCCAGCATTTAAAAACAGCAGAATTCCCCTCTGGTCATCCCTGGGGTCATTTCTTCTTCACGGTGGGGGGTGGGGAGAGAATGGCGTTGGCGGCTTCAGCTCCTGACCCCAGTTGGCTGTTGAGTCAACCTTGCGGTTAGGAGGCTGAGCACAGTTCCTGTAGACAGCAAGACCACATTTGAGTCTCATCACTGCCCCCTTCCGAGCCTCTGCTTCGGGATGAATTTTCTATGACTCCCATAACAAACGACCACAGATGTAGTGGCATAAAATAAGCCGAATTCGTTATCTCGCACTTACGAAGGTCAGAAGTTCAAAATGAATCTGACGGAGCTAAAATCCAAGCGTTGGGGGCACCTGGGTGACTCTGTCGGTTAAGCGTCTGACTTCGGCTCAGGTCGTGATCTCACAGTGCGTGAGTTCGAGCCCCCCCCCCCCCCCGCATGAAACAGCGGGGGGCTGTTGGCGTTGAGCCTGCTTCGGATCCTCTGTCCCTCTGTGTCTCTGCTCCTCCCCTGTTTGTTCCCTCTCTCTCAAAAAGAAACGTTTTTTGAAAAGTTAACATCAAAGCATCAGCAGAGTTGTAATCTTTCTGAAGGCTCCGAGTGGGAATTAATTTCCTTGCCTTTTCAGGCTCCTGGAGGCCATTCCCACACCTCGGCAGCCCCGCTCTTCATCCTTCCAATCTCTGCTTCCATTTTGCCTCTGACTCTCTGACTGCTGTGGTCTGAAATTTCTGTCCCCCTCAAAATCATACGTGGCATTGCTAACCCCCAAAGATGATGGTTTTTGGAGGCAGGGCCTTTGCAAGGTGGTACTTAGGTCATGAAGCCAGAGCCCTCGTGAAGAAAGGGATCAGCCTCCTTATAAAAGAGGCTCCTGAGAGCTCCCGGGCCCCGCCCTTCCAGCCAGGTGAGGACAGAGAGAAAGTTGCAATTGTGAATCAGGAAGAGGAACCGCAGCAGAAAGTGAAAGTGCCAGCACCTTGCCCTTAGACTTCCAGCTGCCAGAACTATGAGGGGGAAAAAATTGCTGTTGTTTATGAGCCACTCAGTATCTGGTGTTTGGTTATAGCAGCCTGACTAGATGAAGACATTGACCTTCTAGCTCCCTGTTATTAGGGCCTTAGTGATTACTTCAGGCTGGCTTGGATAATCCAAGAAAATGTCCCCATCTAGAGATCTGTATCAACATCACATCCACAGTGTCCCTCTTGCCGTGTAAGATAATGCTCCGAGCTCCTGAGGCTTGGAGTGTGGACACCTCCGGGGGCCATCATTCTGTCCACCACAGGTTCCTGACCTGTGATGTGAGATATCAATAACCTACCTCGCTGACCCGTGGGAGAAGATTATGTGAGACAATTCGTGTGGGGAGCTGGGCAGAGTGCCTGGCATAAAAAAAAGCACTTGCCACCCTGCACTTACTGGGAGAAATTGACATTGACATTCCCAGAAGCAGCCGCTGGAGAGAGCCCAGCATCCTGACCCCTGACCTTGGCCCCATATTCCCCCTCTGCTCTTCCTTCAGGGCCCCCTCTGTCCAGACGTGACCAGGGGGTCATGAAATCCCTGCAAAATGTCAAGTTTGTACTTCGCATCTTTCTGAGGCTCTGCTCTGTATCAGCCCCCGCCCCCCACCCCCCCATCTCTAGGCTTTCAGAGCGATCGCCTGCTTTTTATATAGAAGTGGTACCAGCACAGGCAGCAGCAGAAGTACAGAACTTGTTAGGGTAGTTAGTTAGTTAGTTAGTTTCCGGCCCAGACTAAAGCAGAAAGTCTGGGGTGGGGCCGTGTACTCTGGGTTTTTGGGGGCCCCGCAAAGGATGCCAATGCCTCCTTAAGTTTGAGAACCCTGGGCTGGAGCATTTCAAGTACCCACACCTGCAAGGTGGATACAAGGTAGCCCCGCGGCACAGGTGTGGTTGCGGCTCAGGGAGGTGAGTGGGAGGATCAGCCCGTGCAGGTAGGAGGAGGTAGAGCACAGGTCAGAACCTGAGTGGAGCTGGTGCTCTTTCTACATCACTGTACACCTCCACCCTCACAGTGGCCCTGGACTCAGGGCCACCCCACGCCCAAGGTGCTCCAGGGAAAGCTTCACCCAGCCGCTCCCAGGGCACAGCCCAAGCCCAGGGACCTCTCTCTCTTCGCCTGTTGTGTGTTATTTTGGGCAGGGCCCTGCGTTCAGCTCCAGTCTCAGATGCTGATAACTTATACTCGAGTGTAAATGACTGATAGCGCCGTCGGGGTTTACATGCTCCTTTTCAGGGGCTGCCTGTGGTAACCAGGAAGGAAGAGAGTTCATGGTGGGATTTCACTGGGCTGGGCCTGTCTGGAGGAACCGTGTGTGTTTGGGTGGGAGGGCTATGGACTTCCCAAGTGCAGGCAGAATGGTCTTGTGGGAACAGCACAGGGCACTGCTATGGCTAGGTCATGGTCAGCACCGCCTCGTGACCTTGGGTAAATCATTTCATTCCCTACGCTATCATTTTCTTTCCTGGAAACGGGCATGATTCCTGCATGGAATTCCATGGAGATAACTTGAATCAGGGCACCCTTTCCTCTCTAGAGTGTTCTGGTAGGCTGCCGTGAGCTGGGCCCAACCGGGCAGAGTTGTCACACCTTACAAAGTAGGCAGGCCCCTTCCTGGGACAACTCCTTGTGCCCATACATCCATGTCACCTGCCAGAGGAATGGCCGGGGTCACAGTGCCTAGCATCCCTGCTTCTGGAAGGCTTCTCTGATGCCAGCCTGAGCCCTGAGCTCTGGTTGCGTAGAGCGCCCTGCGCTGGCAGTCAGGAGCCCAGGGTCTGGTCCTGGCTTCGCAGCTGACTCACTGTGTGACCTGCCTGGTTCCCTGTCCCTCTCTGGGTCTGTGGCCTTGCCTGGAGGATGAACGGGATGTGCAAAGGCCTGGAACCCACCCTTGCTCAGTTACCATCCCCTGGATCCCTTAGCAGCCATGCCTGTCCTCCGGGATGCGGCAACGCAGGACAGCCTGCTGAGGTGCTCCCACAGCCTTGTGCGAGACGTGCGGTGCTCTCCCCTGCGTGACTGTTCTTCGGGGGAAGGGCCCTGTGTTTGAGCCTCCTCGTGCTTCCTTCAGCCTTGCACTTAGCACTGAGCTCTGTGTCCTATCGTGCTCAGGAAAGACCTGCTGATAAATCCCCAAAGCCCTTGGCTTTGCCCTGTTATTTTGAGAGAGAGAGAGAGAGAGAGAGAGCAAGCAGGTGAGGGGCAGAGAGAGAGGGAGACGGACCACAAGCAGGCTCTGCACTGTCCTCATGGAGCCTGATGTGGGGCTCAAACCCACGAACCGTGACAGCATGACCTGAGCCGAAATCAAGAGTGAGACACCTGACCGACGGAGCCACCCTAGACGCCCCCAGGAGAGTCCTTTTCTTTCGAGGTGCCATCTCCTCCAGGAAGCCTTCCCAGATGCCACATGCCTACCATTGCGCCTCTCACCCTTTTCCCCTGGCTCCAGTCACCCCTCCCTTTCAGATTCATTCCTAGAACCGTGCCTGGCACACCCAATAAATGGGGGGTTGAATTCACTGGGATTATGGTCTAAGGGGAGAGAGATGAAGAGAGAGGCCAGAGTCTTTGCAGGGATGGGGGACACAGCTGGAAGGGGGTCTGCCTCAGGAAGGCCTGCAGATGGCAAACAGCTGGCCGGGGGTGGCCGTGACTCACCCCTCCCCTGCACGCTGGGGGTGCTGCCGACAGGCTGCGACGAGTCCAAAGGCCTAGAGGAATTTTGATAAGGGTAACAGAAGCCCTGGAGTATTTCTAGAATGCATGAGGTTAAGGGTGTGGGGAGCAGAGTCAGGGCAAAACTGCCCGATTATGTTACTCATTTATTTATTATTATTATTATGGTTTATTTTTTTTTTTTTTGGCCTCGATAAAAAATTCACATGGTACAAAATTCAAAAGGTACAAAGGGGACACAGTGAAAAGTCATCTTCCCCTTCCTGCCACCCAGCCAGAAGGCCTGTGTTTTCCAGTGGCTTCTGCATTCTGGTCTTTTCTTCCCTTTCTCATACAGGGACGCATGTCAGCCACACTTTCCTTTATTCCTTCACGTGGCCTTGAAAGGATTTCATATTGACACACAAAAAACTTCCTCGTTTTTTTTTAACACTCGTCTGTGTTTAGGGTTGTTACATAAAGTGCCGGAGGCTCAGCTGGATTTGAATTATTGGATCTTCAGAGAAAGAACAAATCACTTTAGTATAAGTTTGTCTTATGCAACATTTGGGACATACTTATACTAAAAGAAACAACAACCACCCTATTTGTTTTCTAATCTGAAATTCACATTTAACCAGGAATCCCATGGTTTCATTTGCCAAATCTCGCTGTATTTCATGAGGATTCCTTACAATTAAGTCTTTGGAAACTTCAGGAATCTGGGACCTGGTGGGCATCCACTCCCTGGCCTTTGGGTCCCGCGCTAGATTTTCATCTCCAGTCTCCCTTACCAAGATAAGAAATGAAAGCCTCTTTGAATCATCTGATCCACCTCCACTTGTCTGAGGCCCAGAGAGGGAAATGACTCACACACGATCACACAGCCAGTCAGGGCGGAATGGGGCTCAGCCATTCCCGTCTCCCCCAGCCGGTTTTTTTCTCATGCTGCTCAGTGTGGTATACTTGTGGGGGTCGTGAGTTGTAAGCCTAAGCTTTTGGAACATGCACAGACACTCAGGGAGCCAGAGACCAAGGGCTCCACGTTCACAGAGCACTGTTGAGCCCTGCTCCCCGGCAGGGAGAATTTCCAGTATGGGCCTGATCCCCACAACACCTGGCTAATGGTAATAATGATAATATTAATAATAATGGCTATCACTGTCAGGTACCTACTGTGCTGGGTGTTCAACCAGTTTGTCCCTTTTGAGCCCTATAGTAGCCAGGCGTGAGGAGTCAGAGAAGTCCTGTTCACCCAGCTGGACACTAAGGCCCAGAAAAGGTAAGTAATTTCATCAGTCGCCAAGATCCCCCAACCACGAAGTGGCAGTGCTAGGGTTTTAACCCAGATATGTTTTTTAATTTTTTTAATGTTTTATTTATTTTTGAGAAAGAGACAGAGCATGCGTGGGGGAGGGGCAGAGAGCGAGGGAGACACAGAATCTGAAGCAAGTTCCAGGCTCTGAGCTGTCAGCGCAGAGCCGGACGCGGGGCTCGAACCCAGGAACTGAGAGATCATGGCCTGAGCCGAAGTCAGCTGCTTAACCGACTGAGCCACCCAGGCGCCCCAACCCAGATATATTTGACTCTGAGGCTCAAACCCTTTACACTGGGACTGTGAACACTCATCAATGTATTTGTGCCATTTTTTTTTTCAGGTG